GGGATTTGTCTGCGGGGAGCAGCAGGAAGCCGGAGCAGAAACGCTCCTGCTTTTCCCAGCACACATCTGCTGAGCTCCCCCAGGACACCCCGGGCGAAGAGCCGCTCAGCCAGCACAGAGCCATGGCCCGGCACGGCCTGCAGAGTATCGCTTCCTCACGCCTTCGCCTGGCTCCTGCAGTGCTGCCCGTCCCCCCACCCCAACAGCCCCACGGCAGGCGGCCCCGGGGCACAAGGGGATGAGAGCCCAGACCTCTCGCCCTCGCCGCCGCTCGATTTTGGCCCCATCTCTGCCCACCCACCTGCTGGTGCTCGCCACAGAGCAGCACCAGCCTCCCGGGAACACGTGGCCGCCAGTAGGGAGGAGGAGAGCAAGGCGGGCGGGGGCCGCGGCCCCCCACACTCGTGCCATGCTGCCACCACCATGCTGCAGCACGGAACGCCTGGGGTGTGGGCTGAGCATCGTGAGCTCCGCCACCAGGGCCGCTGCCCCTGGGCTCGCTGCCGTGCTGGGGGAGGATTCCCAGCCCTGCGGAGCAGCAGGAGGCCACTGACTGTCATGAGGAGTGCTGGAACGGCCGGGCTGGGAAAGGACATTAAAGGGACATTAAAGACACAGAGATGCTGTCAGAGCAGAAAGAAAATCACTGCAGTGTTGTTTGTGCTGCTTGGTGCAAACCGAGATTCACTTTGCTCTTTTAATGACGAAACAGAAGCTGGTTTTTTAGTGCCATTTCCACTTCAACCCTCCCCACCGCACCCTCTCTCCCCTCCCCTCACCCCTGCCTCTCGTTTTCTCCCTCCTCCTTCTCCCCTCTCCTCCCCTTCCCCTTGCCTTATGCCCAACTTACCTCTCCTGCTCTTCACGGAATTCTTCTGCGTTCACCGCCTTTTGCTGCTACTCTTGCCTTGCTTTCCTTTGCAATGCTGTGCATTGCTCTCTCCACATTTCTTGCCACCCATTCTTTTCTTAGCTCTTATTCTTCACTTTTTACTTGGCTTTTTTCTCCTATTCTCTTTGCCTTTCTTCTCTTTTCTTCTTTTAGTCCTTTTCTCTCTTTTCTATCTCCCCTTTTTTTTTTCTCCTTTTATTTTTTTCTTATTTTCTTTTTTCCCTTTTTTCCATTAAATACCTGTTTTCTTCTCTCTTTTTTTCTTTTCTACTTTTTAATTTTTTTGCTCTTTTTTTCATTTTTTTCTGTTTTCTCTTCTTTTCATCTTTTTTTTTTTCTTATTTTTATTATCTATTCCTTTTTTTTCTCTATTTTGTTTCTTTTTTTTCTCTTTTTTTCTGATTTTAATCATATATTTTCCTTTAACTCTCCCCTCTCCTCCCACCCCCTCTTTTCTCCCTTGCCCTCACCTCCCTTGCCCCTCCCCTTCCCCCTACCATTACCTCGCCTGCCCTTCACTTACCTTCTCCTCACTTCCTCCTTCTTCATGCTCTTGGCTTTTGCTGCTACTCACACCAAATCCCAACACTTGCCTCCTCTGCTTACTGCTCTGCCCGGTGCCTCTCAGCTCTGCTCAAGCTTCACGCCGCCTGCCTGCTCTTCTCTCTTCCCTTCTCGTGCCCTTCAGGCTTTCCTCCCCTTGCTGAGCAAGGCCGTGCCCAGTAGCTCCCCTTCAACCTCCTCTGCACTTTGCCTTCCTCCAAGAGATGCTTGCTTCTGGCCAGCACTCCTGCCCGCTGCTGGCCCACAGCCCGCATCTCTTGGGGAGACGGCAAGGTGGCCTGCAGCTGCCCACACCTCCTCCCGGGCACGGCTTCTCAGCTTGGCTTCAAGCCCACAACCCAAAGCAGCTCCTCTTACCTTTGGGCCCAGCTTCTTCTCCATCCGTGCAGCTCCTATGGCAAGCCGGGGCTCAGCTCTTCCCCATTCCTCCATTCCTGCAAGGTTACATTGTTTCATTCTTTGCCTTGCCTTGCTTTGCTGTGCTATGGTTAGCTTTCCTACTTGCGTTCTCTACATTTACATGCATTGCTTTTCACTTTTTATTCTCTTTCTTTCCTCTTTATTTCTATTTTCCTTACAACCCTCCCCATTTTTGTTGTTGTTGTTGCTTGTTTGTTTCTTGGTTGGTTTTTCTTTTTTAGACTTTTTATCTTTTCTTACTTTTTATTTTATTACTTTTTCTTTCAGCCCCCTGAAGTTACTTTATATCCATCCGTTGGCCCCTTTTATCCCCCTTATCGTTTCTATATCTGGGCCTTTACCTATCCCTCCTCTCCCCACATTACCCTATAGCCCCATCATAGCCCCATATTACCCTATACTTTACTAGAGCCTATGCAAGCCTCCTGTAGCTCCCCTACAGCCTTTTATAACCTCATATCTCCTTATGTCCCACCTGTACCCCTCCACAGACCCCTATTGCACCTGCTTCTCCATATCACACCTATAGCCCCCTCTAGCCCCATATCCCCTTCCAGCCCACCTATTTTCCTCCTACAGACATCTATACAACCACATTCTCTAATATCCTCCCCTAGCCTCTTATATCGCTCCCCACAGCTCTCCCCAGCCCCGGGAGCCCCTCCACAAACCCCCTCCAATGCTCCCTATAGCACCGTGTCCCCCCTAACCTCCTCACAGCCTTCTATTGCCTCAAATCCCCCCAGACCCACCCCTGGAGTCCCATATACCCCAATCCCCTGCCACAGCCCACTTCAGCCCCATGTGCACCCCCTATACCCCAACAGCCTTCTGTAGCCCCCTGCCCCCTCGCAGCCCTCCCCAGCTCCCCACAGCTTCCTAGCCCCCCTCTATTTCCCCGTCAGCCCCCTGTATCTCTCCCAGAGCTCCCTGGAGCCCCATACCGATTCCACATCCACAGCCCATCCCATATATATCCCACTTCCCCACACCCCATCCTGTCTCCCTCCACATCCCCACATCCCAGCCCCGCTTCCAGCCCCTCACCCCACGCGCACACTTCCTTCCCTGTCCAGGTGCCGCTCTCCATCCCTCCCGGCTCTGGCGCCGCTGTGCTCAGCACTGCTCCCGCCGTGCCGCGGTTCCGTCTCGGTGCTGCCCGGAGCTCCGGCACGCAGTGGCTGTGGGACCGGTGCCGTCTGAGGGGAGAGCCGGCTGCCAACGGCAGCCAACAGCAGCAACTCCCTTGTGAAAAGGGAGGAAAGGGTTACGATCAGACGAGCTGCTATGCAAGAATGGGAAAAGAATAATCCCCCTGGATGCTTTGGGATGGTGCCGGCACAGCAAAAATATCCAGTGGAAGACCCTAACTGGGACTGCAATAATGCACAACATTGGCAGAACATGAAGGACTTGCAAGATATAATAATCGCTGGAATTAAGGAGGCAGAACCTCAGAACCAGAATCTCACTAAGGCATTTGAGGTTCAGCAGAATAAGGATGGATCCCCTAGTGATTTTCTAGAAAGGCTTAGAGACAGGATGAGAAAATACTCAGGAATGAATCCTGAGGATCCCGTAGCCCAAGGGCTCCTTAAGGTGAATTTTATAACTAAGGCATGGCCAGACATACAGAGAACACTTCAGAAGATAGGATGGAATATGAGGCCCCTGGAGGAGCTCTTACAAGAGGCTCAGAAGATATATGCCAGAAGGGAAAATGGGGAAGAAAAACAGAAGGCTAAGTTGATGGCTTCCACAGTGGATCGTGTAGCGAAACAAAGATTAGATAATAGGGAAAGGAGAACTGAAGAGAGGTCAGGTCCTGGAGGGTGGCAGAGAGGAGGAAAATTCCAAGGATATTGATCCAGACCTCAATCAGAGAACAGTGAAAGGAGTTGTTCCAAGTGTGGTAAGCTAGGACACGTAAAGAAAAACTGCCCAGAGTGGAGAGAGAGGAGAAGCTACATACTGCTTTAAATTCAGAATAGGGTGTCAGGGGTTCTGAGAAGTTGGTCCCAGCAGGAGCCCTTGGTAAATGTGAAACCGGGACCTGAAGGGGAGGAGGTTGTATTTTTAGTTGATACTGGGGCAGCTCGATCACTGCTAGCTCATAGAGTGTCAGGACTCAAATTAACGGATGAGACTCTAAGGATAACGGGGGTAGATAACAGGACTGGGATGACAGTGCCACTTTTTGAAAAGTAGGGAATAGGACAATAACAGGGCAGTTACTGCATGTGCCTGAGGCAGGGACTAATTTGCTGGGGAGAGATCTTATGATGAAACTGGGAATGCAAATAACAACCCACCAGGAGGGAATGACAGTACCAATGAATGTGTTAACTGAGGCAGATGAGAAAGAGATCCTGTGGTGTGGGCAAAGGAGGGGAGGGGGCTGAAAACAGCCCCTTTAAAAATAAAGTTGCAGGAAAAATATGAGACCATAAGACAGAAGCAATATCCAGTTCCTTTTGAGGGATGTACCGAGCTTGAACCTGTGATACAAGGATTGCTGAAAGATGGGTTGTTGGAACCGTGCGTGTCGCCCTTCAATTCCCCATTCTGCCAGTAAGGAAACCTCATGGCTCCTATCGATAGGTCCAAGGCTTGAGAAGAATTAATGAAATAGTACAAAAACGACATCCAGCGGTTCCAAACCCATGTACCTTGATGAATAAAGTCCCAAATGAAGATAAATGTGTTATAGAGCTAAAAGACGCCTTTTGTTTTTGTCTCCTGGATCTGGAGAGCAGAGATATATTTGCTTTTGAGTGGGAAGATCCTGAGAGGGTGAAAACAACAGTATGAGTGCATGGTTCTGCCTCAGGGGTTTGCAGAATCACCAAATCTGTTTTGGAGCAAATATTAGAACGCTTTCAGGCACCAGAGGAAGCGTCACTCTTACAATATGTAGATGATCTCTTGCTGTCGGGACCAGAAAAACCAGAGGTTAAAAAAACTACGAACGAACTGCTAAATTTTCTAGGGAAACAGGGACTGAGAGCCTCAAAGAATAAACTACAGTACGTGAAAAAAAAAAACAGATGAGGTTTAACAACAGCAAGTGTAGAGTCTTGCATCTGGGGAGGAATAATTGCATGCACCAGTACAGGCTGGGGGATGAGCTGCTGGAGGGGAGCTCTGCGGAGAGGGACCTGGGTGTCCTGGTGGACAACAGGTCGGCCGTGAGCCAGCAGTGTGCCCTTGTGGCCAAGAGGGCCAATGGCATCCTGGCGTGCATTAAAAAGAGCGTGGCCAGCAGGTCGAGGGAAGTGATCCTCCTCCTCTGCTCTGCCCTGCTGAGGCCTCATCTGGTTTGGACTCTCACACTTTATCAATTGTGTCACCGAGGAATCATAAGAGTTGGAATTATTGGGGTTGGTTTACATGGACTATTGTTTGTACTCTAAAGAACCCATCCTTTGTTCAGTGTATTACTTTTAGTTTAGCTCCTTTTAGGATTGTTTCTGAACTGTGCTTCTTTATCTATTAATAAAGAAGGGATAAAGAAAGTCGCTGTTTTGCTAATGAGTAAAAAAGCTCAGCAGTAACTTGAGCCAGATGTAAACACACGAGGTGCCTGGTTCCTACATGTAAGCAGTTGTTGATGTGTGGGTATTAAAGGTTGTAAGCACTACAATAAAGGTCTTTCATTCCTCCTTCTGCACCAGCAAGGGAGCCTGCGCCTCTCTTGCCACACCAGCAAGGGAGCTCAGAGTCCTCTTGCCGCAGAGAGGAGAGGAGAGAAAAGACAGAGCAGAACAAAGAAAAAAGGGAAGAGAGAAGCTTCTAAGGGGGAAGAACAGAAAGGTGATGAACGAGAGGGGAAAAGAAAGAGGGCAGAACAGAAAATACAGGTGAGAAGAGCAGATCTAAAAAGGACAAGAGATAAAAAAGAGAGGGCAGGCAGAACAGAGGGAACAGCAAAAGAGGAAAGGACAGATGGAGGAAGAAATGAAGGAATGGTGCAGAGAAAAGAAGGAGAAGAGTGCAGAAAAAAAGAAGAGGAGGAGAGAAGTTCAGAGCAGAGTTACTGAGAAAAAAAAAAAAAAGGAATATGAATAATTTCTAAGTTCTATTAAAGTAAAATTCTTCTTAAGACAGATTTCTTTTTGCAGTGTTCATATCCTAGACAATTTAGCAATATTCAGGAACATTTTCAGTACGTTTTTTTTTTTAAGGTCTGCTTCATCCCAGCTGCTCTAAAATACCCAACAGGTGTCAAGGGGGGATCAGTCCTTAAAGGCACTCAGAAAATCCCACTGTTTGTGTCCAACATCAACAAGTTTACCTTCATGAAGGAGTAGAGAGACTCCTACATGGTCAGGAATTCCCTTCTGATATCCAGCAGATCCATCTCGGAGCGGGACACCATCGCTCTGATCAGAGTGCTGTCAGCTGCTCCCAGGCCCTGGGAAGAAAAGCAGCCACGTGCAGCCGACACAGAACTGCTGGAGAATCACTCGCAGACACAAAGGTCTCAGGGCCCAGTCCTGTGCAGGAGCTGCTCTTCATTACAGCATTCTTGCATTCACGGAGCAATCCATGAGCAGCAGCTTGCTCCTGAGTATGGCTGTTACCCTGATGTGCAGAAAAGCCTGAGCTTTCCTGGAACAGCCAGTTTCCTGAGTGGCTGCAGCTTCCATCTCATGATTGCCATGATGCTGCTGGCTGACTCGAGCACGGAAATGCAAGAAAGAAGCAAGCAATCTTACTCCACAATCTGTTTACCTTCATGGGTTTACACAGCCTTTCAGCAAAACACGCAGGCTCGTTTCGCACACACTGTACTGTAAGGAGAGACAAGAACAAGAGAATTAAGGGAATTAACAAGAGAATTAAGGCCAGTAGAAGCAGGAGGTTTTCCACACCGCTGCAGCACTTCCTTGGTGCAGCTGTTTCTTCTGCCAAGATGCAACTCCAGGTGAACAAACAGCAGCTGCAGTGCAGGCATGCAGTCAGTGATGTGCTGTGAGCTGATGTCTCTGTGCCTGCACACAGCAGGATGTGCATGAAGGCTTTCGTGCCTCCTGACAGCAAACCTCTGCTGCCACAGCTCCCTTTGGCCAAGCACACTGTACCATAGAGCACAAAGCTTTCCCACCTGATTTTGTCTGTAAAGCACAGAATCAGAGTGGTTTGGGTTGGAGGGGATCCCTAAGATCATCGAGTTCCAACCCCCTGCCATCTCAGGGACACCCCCCTCTACACCAGGGCACTCCAAGTCCCACCAAGCCTGGCTTTGTGCCCACAAACAAAGACAAACCACGACTGCCTCCTGAAACCACGTAACAGCCGCTCGAGGGAAGACACAGCACCTCTCATTGTTTCACTGTTTTGAAGACAACGTTTAAAAGCAGGGCACTCACCCACAGCCAGCAAAGCACCTTCCAGGTCTCCTGACATCTCAGATTTAACGCTGTCTGTTACGTCCTTGTCAGCAGTGCCTCTGTGCCATCAAAAACCAGGGGGAAGAATCCATGGCAGAAAGTCAGAGAGATTCAAAGGACCGCTTTGTAACAACGAGCTCCTCATGTACTGCATGCACTTCCTGCAGCACTGTCAGCTAAACCAGGATTGTCCCACAGAAAGAATTCATTTTCATTGCTAACAGACTTGCTAATTTCCTACCACAGCTGTTACCATTTTCAAGACCTGCTGCTTTGTGCTGCCAATCAAGTTCCTTAGCTCTTCTCCCCCCTGCCCCAATGGCAGTCACACCTCATGATCTCTGCTTTCCTTGAGGGTACTTAGGTTTCTAAAGCCCCTTTCAGTCTCAAGAGGGAATAAAATGGCCCGAATGGAATGGATGCAATGGGGCTCTCTCCAGGACACCTGCTGCCTCAGAAGAGTTCACATCTACTGAACACCAGGGACACGAGGACCCTTTGAAACATGGAAGATGTGTCAGATGCCATCCTCAAGGGAGCAGCCAGATTCTAGCAACCCACAACCAAAATGTCACTGCCCCTGCCAAGTAACCAGCCTGTCTGGAGACTCTCATTAGAGACTTGCAAACAAGACTAGAGCCATCATTCCCATTTCACAGGTTGGCTTCTCTTCACCTTGCATCACACAGATTAGACTGGGAAGCAAATTACTACACACCTGAGCATCTTGCTGAGCACAGCCACGTACATTCCTTCATCTCTGTTTCCCTGCAAAGACACAAGGATAGAAGATTCAGTTACCAGAGCATCCAGGAAGCAACTCCTGGGAATTCCTCATTCAGGATCAGCTGCTGGAGATGGACAATGGAGTCCTTCAAAGGGAAGACTAGCTCACAAACACAGTGAAACACAGCTCAGGTGTGCTTTCGGCTTTCCTCTAAAAATGAGCAGCAGCCCACTTTACTGGGGTGTTTAAAGAAGAGCCCACAGCACTCGTGCACACCCAGAGTCAGAGTCTCCTCCCTGCAGAAGCTGGGTTTGAGGAGCAGCCATGGGACACCCAAGGTGAGAAAAAGCCAGCCTGGACTCCTCACCACTGAGTGCAGAACTGTGCCCACAGCTCTGAAGGTTCACCCCCTTCTCCCCTCGGCTTGGCTCACCATCGTGAGGGACACGAGGACCCTTTGAAACATGGAAGATGTGTCAGATAGGATGCCATCCTCAAGGGAGCAGCCAGATTCTAGCAAGAACACACACACAGCGTCCGTTAGGAGCAGGGCCACCACCTGGGTGCTGCCCACAACATTTGCCAGCCATAACCTGCTACGGGCAGAGCTGGGCCCAGGGCTCTCAGCATCACTGCAGCGCTCCAGCCATCATCATCAGTGCTGCAGCCTCCAATTAAGAAGCACAGACAGCAAGAAACTGGCAAGAGAGCCACACGTCCTGCTGACAGACAGAATGCTCCTCCCCGTTTTATTTACACCAATTCAGCTGCTGGTGAAATTCTAGTCTAGATTCTCCCTGGACAAACAGTAACACCTGGGATGGCCAGTTTGTCACACCTAAAAGTTCCCCACACTCCTTCCTCTTCACATCTGCCTGCACACACACACACTGACTGTCAGGCAGCAGGACAAGGCCTTTCACACTGCTTAGAAAGCTTGTAGTTCTCCTTAATGCAACCAACTTCTTCATTGGTGCGAGAAGCCAGAATTTCACTCAGGCAGCCTTCACCTGTTCCTGCTCCCTAGGGAACTGCCAAGGCAAGATTTAAGATACCAGCAACTGCTCGTGACGTACAACCATGTTTCCTTAAGACGTACATAACAAAGCAGCAAGCCCTTGGCCAGAACTTGAGCAATACGAAAGGAAGATTTCCAAACCTTCACAGCCCTCCTTAGTTCATGCATGCCATACATGGTGGTGGGAAGTCATCATCTCAATGATCACCCCCTCAAAATTCCCCTCAGCTCTAACTCAAGTCATCAATCAAATCCTAGAAGGCCAAAAAAGGAGAACGGAGTTGGCAGAAGGCACGGCCTTGGAGGACAGAAGGAACTGAGCTGTTCACTTCTCTTCAGGCTCCAATCCTCCTTGCATCAACAACTGCTCTGAACTGAACAGGAACCAAACAACTTTGCTCAGGCAAAGTCTCTGCTGACCTTTCTCTTATGGTCATTAGGTCATTTTTCGCTTTTCACCAAGTGACACAACCACGTTCACACATCTCTGCAGACCACCTACCCTGCTAAAAGGGCTCTTGTAGGTGATCAGAACTTGCTGATGTTGGCAAACGTTGAGTTTGGTCAAGGTCTCCATGATGGCATCTTCATCCGTGCCTGCAAGAAACAAATGGAAGCTGGTCAGGCTGCTTGCACAAGAATCAAAGTGCCCTCTGCTCTTGTGCCACCTCCAGTCCCCTACATGGCGAGTTCTCAGCAGCCCCAGGCCTCCATCTGTGCACACAAAGCTGCCAGGACCCACACCACCAGAGCAGCTGCATTTTGGGACATGAAGAGCACTTCTGTTTCCACTGCCCAAAGATTTTTAGGGCAGTTGTGCAGCAGAGCAATGCAAGCAGCTACACTTCCCTCTAACAAACCACCAGAGCAGCCATTCCCAGTGCTGGGGCAAAAATAAAAGTTGACTCGTGGAGGGAGATCAACTCAACAATGCCCTTCATGGCCTTCCTGAGTGCCTGACAGAGCCAGGCTGCATCCCGTGGAGCCCAGTGCCAGGAGCAGACGTTGCCACCAAACATCACACAGAATCACAGAATCACCCGGGTTGGAAGGGACCTCAAGGATCATGTAGTTCCAACCCCCCTGCCTGGCAGGGCCACCAAACATACACATTTAGGTCAGGTTGCCCAGGACCCCGTCCAACCTGGCCTTGAACACGTCCAAGGACGGGGCATCCACAACCTCCCTGGGCAGCCCGTTCCAGGGCCTAACCACTCTCCTAGTAAAGAACTTCCCCCTAACATCCAACCTAAATCTTTCCTCCTTCAACTTGGATCCATTTCCCCTAGTCCTGCTATTGTCAGCCCTTTTGAAGAGTTTACTCCCCTCCTGGGTGTAGGTTCCCTTCAGGTATTGATAGGCTGCAATGAGGTCACCCCGCAGCCTTCTCTTCTCCAGGCTGAACAAGCCCAACTCCCTCAGCCTGTCCTCATAGGGCAGGTGCTCCAGCCCCCTGATCATCTTAGTTGCCCTCCTCTGGACCCTTTCCAAAATCTCTATGTCTTTCTTGTACTGAGGGCTCCGCACCTGGACACAGTACTCCAGGCAGGGCCTCACAAGAGCTGAGTAGAGAGGGACAATCACCTCCCTGTCCCTGCTGACCACTCCTCTCCTGATGGAGCCCAGGATCCCATTTGCCTTTCGAACTACCAAAGCGCACTGCTGGCTCATGTTAAGTCTCTCGTCCATCAGGACCCCCAGGTCCCTCTCTGCCGAGCTGCTCTCAAGAGGAGCACTCAGGAGCATCAGGAGCACTCCTGCACTGTAAGCGCTGCAGCACTGGCACAGGAACCCAGAGAGGCTGCAGTGTCTCCTCTTGGAGATCTCCAAACCCATCTGGACATGGTCCTGGGCACCAATTCTGGTGGCCCTGTTGGAGAATCACACGGGTTGGAAAAGTGACCTTAAAGATCACCGAGTCCAACCACGACCTAACCACACTACCCCAACTGACAACCCTCCTCCAAATCACAGCCCTGAGCACCACAACAAATGGTTTTTAAACACAGTCAGGGATGGTGACTCAACCCCCTCCCTGGGCATTGCAGTGCTTAACAACACTTACTGTACAGAAGTTTGTCCTGATATCCAACCTCAACTTACCCCACGTCTGCACGGCCTGTGGAACCCACAGGTGGGACAATGGGCTCTGGCTTCTGGGGTGCTTCCTCAAAGGAAACCAGCGCATGGCGTCAGGAGCAGAGGAGGAAGCAGCCGATCCTGCCGCTGATGCTGACATTCTGCGTCCCACCCAGGACTCCCACACCCTCCTGTTCCCAGGAAGAGGCCCGCACGGAGCAGAGCAGAGCGGAGCGGGGCAGAGCGGGCTCGGCCTCGCTGCGGTCCCCCGCGTCTCCGCCCTCCTCATCGTCCTCCCGCAGCTCCAGCCGGGGCCCGGACCCCCCGGGACCCCAGAAGCGGAGCGGGCGCACGGCGCGGAGCGGCGCGGCGCGGGGCGGTGCCGCGGGCAGCCGGGCCGGGGCCGGGGCCCTGCGGGACGCGCGCGGTGATGACGCAATGACGGCGCGACCGCGGACAGGAAGAACCCCGCGCGGAGTGCCCGCCTCATTCGGCGGACCGACCAATGGGAGACCGAAGGAGGCGGGACAGAGCGCGGGCTCTCCGCCAATGGCGGACGCGGAGCCGCCGCGGTCGCGCTGGCGCGACGGAGGAAGCGCGATGCTGCATCGCCCCGCGTCCCCGCCGTAGCCCGCCCCGTGCCTCGGGGACACTGGGCGGTCAGGGGAATGCGGCGCGGGCGCACCGCCGCCGGCCCCGCTCTTCCCCCGTCGGAACCGAGCCGTCCTCCGTCGTTGCGGCGGGACGCCGCTGGGCTGCGAGAAGCGGCGGCTGACCGCGAGCGGCGGGACCCGGCCGGTGTCCGGGCAGCCCCGGAAGAGAGGGAGCGATCGCACGGATCGAGACGCGTTCGAGCCCGGCACGGAGTCAGCAAGAGCCTTCGGCTCTCGCCCGGCTCCAATCATCGGCGGCGCTGTGCTGAGCTGCTGCCCCGCAGCCGCAGTCCCCAAGGGCCGGTTTCCATCTGTGTGTCCCCGTGCGGAGCTCCCGGAGTCGCGTGAAGCCGACGTGGAGTCGCTTCGTGTTGGCCCCCAGGAGGGAAGCCGTGAGGGGGGATGATTGTTCGGGTGGGAGCTGGTTGGGAATACGGCCATTTCTCTGTTTATTGCTTCTATGTTAAATGATTAAATGTTTAGCGTTCGTTTTTCAGCACTTCTGTGTGCAGTCAATTCTGCAGCTCCAAAGAGGGGGGAAGGAGGATCAGAATGGGGAAATAGGAGCGGTGGGACAGGGTGGAGGGGAGAAGGGACCTTTAGGGTAAGAATTGGAGGACTCGATGGGGGGGGAGTGGGGGGAAAGGAGCCCCTGGTAGTCAGAATGGGGAGTTTCATGGGGGGGGGGGGGTGGAGAGGGGATTCGAGGGGTCAGAATGGGGGACTGAGGAGGAGTGCTGGGTGGCGTGGTAAAGAGGATCACGGGGGAAGCGAGAGGTGGGACGGCGGGGGTGGAAGGGAAGGAGGAAAGGGACCCTGGGGGTCAGAAAGGGGAACGAGGCGGGGAAATGAGGCGGGGGGTGGAGGAGGACTGCAGGGATCAGAATGGGGGAACTGGAGGGGAAGTGGGGGGGCTGGGCAGATGAGAGGGGGACTGCAGGGAAGGGTGCAACCCTGCGGGCTGGGGGGGTTGTGGGCGAACCGTTGGGGTCACACAGAGCACCTCCTGCTCTGCAGAGGCCCCGAGTCACACAGAAGCCCCACGGGGCCAAATTGGAGCGGCACGCGGCCCCCCGCCTAGTCCGCAGGCGTTCTGTTTCTCCCAGGTCAGCCACTCACTGGGCAGCCTGCTGGACTACGGCATCTGATGCTACAAGGGGATTTAATATGGAGACTAGGGTGCCGTACAGATGGGAGGGAGCTTGCTGTAAAATCAAATCTCTCATCCCTGCTGAAAATTTAACCATATGAGGGCCATCGAATGTATCTTCATAGATAGCCTTTCTTACACCCAGTTCACAGATATAATTTTGAAGGTCCTCCATGGAGGACCACATGCCTGTATGTAAAGGTATGTCCGATTTATTCGGCCATACCACACGGCAGGCCACCATTAACCATTCTAGTATAGAATGGTTTTCATCACGATATTGGTGACCCGCATGTAACCTCTGTCTGAGAGCAGGATGGACAGTCATGGTGGCCAACATAGCTATTTCTGGGCCATTCACCAAGACACTTTCTGCCCCAGAATCCCACAGTCTCAATAACCAAACTGGCACACTTTCTCTAGGCTTCTGCCGAAATCGCTGTACTAAGTCCATCAATTCTGTTGCCGTGTATGGCCGGGCCATTACGTGTAAATGAGTCTTGGCAGGGGGCACTGATCAGGCGGCACCCCTGCCGGTCTGTCCTGCACTGTTGTTGTTTTCTGGGTTACGACAGGACGGACTTGCAGTGGATCAGTCAGAATTGGATATTCAAGATCTGATTTGGATTTGTTGTTTTCCTGATCAACGTAGTCTGTTGATTCAGGAGTCAGGTCATCGTTTATTGAAATATTTCGAACTTGGCCTACAGGAAGATATGGTACCTTCGCACCATTGAAAGTTAAACTCATAAAGAATAGATGAATTGGTTACTAATTTGCTTTATTTTAGGGTGATGTCTCTGGTAAGTTGATGTTGTGTGCTGTTACGTTTTGTATTTTGGTTGCAATAGTAGTATGTTTTATGTTATATTTATTGATTTGTTATTGTTAAATGTGTGATTGTCATTCTTCTCCCTTCTATTGGGATCAACCTTACATCTCTATACTTCACAATGGCCTCTATTAAAGTAATAACACTCTCATTAGTGGGCAGAATATCATAATGGAAGTAATATAATGAGTAGGTGTCATTCGGGTAAAGGTTTCTGGAGATGGGAGAGCTCAAACTCCCACCAGCATAGTGAGAACTATTTGGAGCCAGGGTTAAAAGGGTAAATAACCCCTTGGTAAGGTATAATACTGGATACTTTGAGAGCCCTTACCCCAGTATTAGGAGTCGCTCAGCTGGTTTGGATTAAACAGGACCCCCCAAATGCGAAGACATGGACGACCTGAAAGCTACCAAGACAAAGGAGGTAATGCACAACATGGACAATGAGCTTACTAAACTTCTCAGACTTAAAGGCTATTGATTTTTCTCCGCAGAAAGCCCAAGTGGCACAGCCACAAGTAACCCATTTGCACTATGGAATCACTTCGGGATGCGGAACCCTAGGAAACAGCGAGGGGACTCTGGAATGAGCTCCAGACTGTCCTAGAGATAACGAGGTGGTGCTGCCTACAACTATGAAATACTGGTAAAGCCCCTCTACGCCCTTTTGAAATCCTGTCCAAAGGTCCTCATAGAGGTTGAGGAAGAGAAATAAGAGGAAGGTTTAAATGTGTCAATTAGACACAGGCTCAGTTGTTAGTGCAGAACAAAAAACTTTTATTGTGGGCGATGAACTTGAACAACGTGCACTTGGTTAAGTGCCTTATTAAATGTAACTTGCCACATTTGGCAGTGCTGGATCTTCCCTCCTGCCCTGAAGTAGATGGCTCTGGATCTGGACTTGTCCCTCTGGTGCCGTCTGTGTTGGTGTGAGTGTTGGACCGAGGCACCGGCTCAGTCAGCCTTATCTCAAGTCTGTGGTACCTCAGCGGCGTCTCCCAATAGCAGGCGATGAGGTCGTACACGCTGTCAAATACTTGGGTGTCAGTCACAAAAAACTTCTGACTGGCAGCGTCCTGTCGCCAGTGTATGCGGCAATGCCGCACCTTCCCACAGTGCCAGAAGGACACAACGTAGTCCCCAATGTAAGTCTCACTTTCCCTGACCAGGAAGGAGCCATCAGGGGCCTCCATCCCAGAACAGTACTCCATCAGCAGCCGCTCAGCGATGTGCCGCCCGCTGTGCCCTGCCCCCAGCTTGCCGTGGAACCATTCCTGCGCGAGATAAAGCTCCATGTTGGCGCTCACCTCCTTCTGTGCAGGTTGTCTCCTCTGTCTGCTCTCGGTCAGGGGAATGTAAAGTGGGTTCCATGTACAGTTGAGGGGTTCTTCTGTCAGTTGGCAATCCACCGCCTGCTCCTTTGTCATACACGCACCCATGGTTCCTTGCCACTCGCCTCCACAAAGCCATCTCAGTTTTGGCAGGGCTTGCCAATGGTCTTTATAGCATCTGCTGACACCCATGCCAGGTGTACGAGCTAGACGTCTCGTGATCATGTCAAGAGGGTCTGTCTGGCATGGATAGTTACAATCTTTAACTTGCTTATACCTCTGGAGGTCTTTTGCTAGTCCGAGCTAGAATATCTTTATTTTCTCCCCATAGTATACAGGTTAAAGGAATTGGGGTAAGGGATCTGGACTAATTAAATGAAGGGGCACGGTGGTGAAGATCTTAGGGGAGGGGATAGAAGAGGAGTCCAGCGATGAGAATGGGGGAAGCGGAGGCAGGGGGCGGGCATAGGGTAAGCCCAGGGGTCAGACTGAGGGACTCGGGGGGTCGTGGGTGACCCGTGGCGGGGATGGGCTGTGAGGGAGGGGAGGGAAGGCAGTGAAACACCGAGCGGGGTGGGGGAGGGGCGGGGGGCACAGGGCACCTCCCGCCGCCGAGCGGAGGCGCTGAGCACCACAGAGGCCCCACGGGGCCAAGAGTGAGCGGCCTCAGCCCCGGTGCCGCCCCGAACACCCACTCTTAGAAGCCGCCGCGGCGCTGGAGAGGCGCGGGGCCCCGCTCCGCTTCCGCATGGCCGCGTCCTTTGGTCGCAGCGTGATGACGTCACTCAGCGGGGACGGCGCGTCGCTGGAGCAACGGACGCCACGAGGTGCCGTCGCTATGGAGACGCAGCCACGCATGCGCTGTCGCCGCGGGGACGGCTTCCGGCGCCGCCATGAGGGAGGGCGTGCTGTCGCCTGGCAACGCAGCCCGCACGCACGGTCTGAAGTCCGAGTGGGGTTCGAGGGGCAGCGGGGGGGGGAGGGGGACGGACGGACGGACGGACGGACGGACGGCGTTCAGGGATCTCCTGGGGAGGCGGGGGGGCGACTGGGAGAGGGCAGAGCTCCGGGGATGGCTGCTGTGGGGTGGGAGATCCGCAGGGAGATGCAGCGAAACGGTGGGATGTGGGCAGAACGTGGAGATATGGGAAAAGGAAGACGGGGATCTGGCCAACACCGTGAGAGCCTGGCTGATAGGGAGGGAGGGAGCAAGGAGGGAAGGAGTGGGAAGGAAGGGAGGGAGGGGAAGGGAGGAAGGAAATGGAAAAAGGAGGGAAAAAAAAGGGAAGGGAGGGGAAAGGGAGAAGGGGGAGTGGGAAGGAGAGGGGATTTGGGGGAGGGGATGCAGGGAGGGAGGGAACGGAAAGGGAAAGGGAAAGGAAGGAGAGAGGGGCAGAAGGGAAGAAGAGAAGGGAAAGAGTCCAAAGCTTGGCCTGGGTGGTATTGCAACATAGAAAGGCTTCAGGTATGTTGTTATGTGCACAAGGAGGAGTTCGTGCAGCAGTAAATGATGTTGTTGTGTTCATGTAGATCAGAGGGGTAGAACTGAAGCAGCTATAGATAAGATATGGCACCAAACTGAAATACTGCCCAACATAAAACAATGTGAGCTGAAACCAACGTGACTTCATGGCTTCCCAAATTGCAGTGGCTAAAGAAGTTATTTGTGGGGATGGTGTGTGCAATCGCTGTACGTATGCGTCCTTCCTTGTAGCGTGATTGGATGTTGGAGATGTGTCTCTAAGCAAGAAAGGTCAAAGGTGGTGAGGATTAGGATGTGAACATCGTAATCCTCGAAGGAAAAGCAGGGATTGATGTGGGCTGCTCTGTTCAGCAGCAGGGCTTAGCACATCAGTTTAAGAACCAACATATGAATTTAGCAAAAAGAACCCACGAGTGATAGTTCTCAAACTTTCGTTTCAGCTTTAGTGGGAGAGCAGCTCCGTTCCTCCTCAAGAACTTTGTGTGGGCACACAAAGGAATACTTGTACCTTCTACCTCAATGATTGTGCCTCACAAGCTTCTCACCACTTCTGCTTTTGTCTTCTCTGTATCCGCTAATACCTCTTTTGCTTTTCTCCTTGTCTGCTTGTTACCTCCATCCTTTTTCTTCTTCTCTGCGCTTCTTTCTTTCTTGTCTGTTCTCCTTCTGCTCTTATCCTTCTCATCCTCTCTTACCTTTATTCTCTCCACTCCTGCTCATCTCTTTTGCTGTCTTGCCTGTATCCTATCGTGCTTTTCATCTTCTGCTCTTCTTCCTTACCCGTATCCTTAATTTTATCCTCTCTTCTGCTCTTTTTCACTTCTTCTCAGTGTCCAACGTCTGCATCACACCTCTGTCCGAATTAGTTTTGGGGTGGAAAAAGGTACCAAGGTAGATAGATTTGTACAAGAGAACCTCTTACACTGTGCCTGAAAGGTGATCCAAAGGAGCCCTCAGGAACCAAGACCACAAAGGAGCTGCTTTCGAATGGAGAATTTTCCAGAGTTCCTTCCAGTCATTGCTTGGAGGAACTGAGGTTTTTATCCTTGTATCTCTGCAGAAAGGCAGGGCGGAGGCAACGTTTATGGTGAGGTGCTCAGGTGAAATTGCCCTCCTTGCACAAACAGCCTGTTTGTGTCCATGTGATGCACGGTGAAGAGAAGCCTGCTGTTCTGTGAGTAAGCCTGCTAAAAGGAAGTAATGGTTCTGGCCTTTTTGGCAAGTCTCTGAGGTGAGATCTTTGGACAGGCTGGTTGATTTGCAGGGGAAATGCCATTTCAGTTGTTTGTTGCCACGCTTGGTTGGTGCTTGTATGAACAATATGTATCATCTAGACAACCAGTGCTCTAGCACCAGGGAAGGGAAAAACCTCATGTACATCCAGTCTTCTCCACGAGCCTTATGTTGTCTTTTCACAGAGTCTCTAAATGCCTGTGGAAATTACGGGGGGGGGTGGCAAAGGGTGGGACAGTGGGGGGTGGGTGGGGGTGGGGAAGAGATGAGGGGCAATTTGTGTGCATCCTGTGCCCATGGAGCAGGTATCACCTACTAAGAGCTAGGTGCCCTTCATGGCGTCGTGGACTTGTTTTCTTTCCTTTTTTGAGCATGATGGTTCTGCAGGTGCATTTTAAGTAACTGTGAACTCTGCTGAGACGACAGGTGTCCTAGAGAGAGCCCAGCTGCACCCTTTTTGTTCAGGCTGTTCTATTCTCTCCTGAGATTAAAAGGGACTTGAAAAACCCAGAAGTACAACTTGTACTTTCAGGCTGCTGTTCCAGCCTGTCAAGTGGGTATCATGCAGTGTGACCACCATTGGGGCAGGAGGGAAGTAGCTGAGAAATTCATCTGCCTACATGAAGTAGCATGTCTTGAAAATGGTCATAGCCATGATATAATTAGCAAGGTCATAGAATCCTAGAATCACCAAGGTTGGAAAAGACCTACAAGATCATCCAGTCCAACCGTCCACCTGTCACCAACAGTTCTCACTAACCTGTGTCCCTCAACACGATGCCTAAATGTTCCTCAGGAGCATGCAGTGTTTCAGAATGACAGAAGGTCTGGAGCCAGAACCCACCCCTTCCCAGCCCTCACTGAAGGGCTGGCAGTGAAGGCAAGGGGATCTCACTGGAGATCCCTGCCTACCTGAGTCCTTCTGAAGGTAAGCAGCCCCTTGCCTTGATTTCTGTGCCCACGGCTGTTGCCTTTGAGCAAATCCTCCCTTGCTGCAGCCTTGGACCTTGCTCCTCTGCTGTCATGGCTGTGCTTTCCATCGCGCCTGGCCTCATTGGGCTCAACCCTGCTGACGGATAGATGTGTTGGTTTGGTTGGGGTGGTTGCAGTAGCTAATGGCAAAACCCTTTCCTGAGTGCAACTAAAGAGATAAGTGAGAAAACAAGGGAGTCTTGAGAGGAAAGAGTGACTGATAGCAGTGCTGTCCTGGAAGCTACAGTGGAAGCAGTAGAGAGGCCGATAGTGGCTGTTGGTGTCAGTAGAGCGATACGAGTCTGTGTGTAAATGGTGGTTCTTAGAGCTGTGTTAATTCCTTGAAGAGGCCTAGCATTGTGGAGGTACTTGTACTGACAGTTGTTTGACTCAGGAATGAAGTGTGTTTCCCAGTTCGTGATAACCTGATAGCGTTGTGTTTGCTCGTGCAGCTGTGCTCTGTGCATTGTAGAGCTGTCAGACAGATGTGGGTTCACTTTCCACTCTCTCAGCAGGAATGAGACTAGTAATACTTTCTGTAAGTGCATTTCAGTTGAAAAAATGATTTTGTTTTGGCTGTAGAAATGCTGTATTTGAGGGATTTTGGTGGACGTGGGCTAACAGGACAAGGATTCTATTGGCAACTGCTTTCTGTGACATGGAAAGGGTATACTTTGTTTTAGGGATGGAGCATGGGATTCGATTGACTCTTACTGAGAAAGGGGGAAGTGGAAAGCCTCTGTGGGTAAGAACGTTTTGTGAGCTGTAGTTTGGGTACCTTCATCTAAGTAGGACTGTATGAAAGGGTGCGTGTGATGGAGGAGAGGGGAAAGTGCCTTGTGTGGACTGTAAGGAAGGCATAATGTTACAGAGTGGAGAGGCAAATTTAAGAAACTCTGCTTGAAAACTTGAAGGTAGTGGCTGGCTGTGCTGAAATCTTCCAAAGAGTTGCTCTTCAAGTATTTCCTGCTTTCTCTCTGCGAGAAACTGACGCCAGTGGCCTTCCACTGCAGCATGGCCGTGCGGAAGGGCTGGGGAACAAGACAGAGCTAGAGAAGGCACCAAAGAGAGCTACAGGTACACAGCAGGCACCTGGACTTGATGCACTGTCTTTCTGCGCAGGCTTTCTGTTTGTTCATTCCTAGGACAGTTGTCTGCAGTTTGCATCCCAGCTTTCTCCCAAGCCCTGGCTGCACAAAAATGCAAGCAATCAGAGGAAGAGAAGGAAAAAGCAGAGGAGTGGGCTTCTGAGAAAAGAGCTGAGGGGGAGCATGAGGAGCTTGAGGCAGTGTTTCAGAAAAGTAGTGCTTTCACTTAGGATTGTCTGAGATTTCCTTGCCCTGGGTTATGATTGTGTGTAGCTATTGGTTTCTTGGTGCCTGTGTATCCGTTGGTACACAGATCAGTGTGTGGAAAAGACAGCTGAGAGTGCAGGACATGGCAATGTATTTCTCCTGGCCAAATGTGCTGAAGTACTGGAAGGATTGTGAGAAAGACCAGAGAGAATGGTTTCAAGCTACGGCAGGGGAGATTCAGGCTGGACATGAGGAAGTATTACTTATTATGGTCTCCACAAAGTGGGCGCAGAAGCAAAATGAAGCTGAGATGCATCTGTGTGCTGAGTCCTACTGCTACTGCAGAAAAAGCAGCTTTGGTAAGAATAGTGGTGAAGGTAGGAGAGGATATGGAAGGTTTAGACTGCTCTTAGAGGCATGGTGGAAGTTTCAAATGTTGTGCAGGTTCAGCACGCTCCTACTGCTTTGGTGTGCCGCACCTGCCTGCCCTGTCAGCACTACGTCAGGCTTTTTTTTCCTTTTTAAGGTAGGAAAACCAATTTCTGGCTAGGAGAAGAAGAAATGCAACAATCTTCCCTGCATTGCTTCTTGGGTAATGGGTGCTGATGAGCAGTCCTTGTATTAGAATAATGTATTGTAATTTGATCTTTCTGTCTTTGCACTCTTTTAGCAACTGGGGTGTTGATGCAGCTGCACGTATCTCCTGTTTTGTCCTTCTGCTTTGTGTAAAAGAAGTGTCCACTATGCAATCTCTGTGTGAAATTTTCTTGAAGTATTTTACTTTATTTGCCACTAGGAAGCAATGGCTTGGAAGTGACGGCGGTGTCACCCAGCAGCCTACACAGTGACCTGATGTCTCATTGCTTGGGTCTGTTAAAAACCACCCTGATGAGAAAAGAACGTTTGCACGGATTCTGTGCTGACTGTGTCAGTACAGCCCTGAGGAGCGGTGTGGACATGGCATGGCAGGGAGAAGGCAGTTCCCTTCTGGTGGGAAAGTGCCCGAGGAATGTTGACATCCCGTGTGTTGGTGCCCCATGCCCGCTCCATGCCCGTGCCCCACGCACTTCTGAACAGGCAGCTCAGCTTTTGTGTCATTCAGCCACCTGTGGCAGAACAGACCAGGCTTTCTGCAGACGTGGATAATCGTCCCATCACTTTCTGCCTTAAAAGGAGTAGAAAACCTTTTCATTTTGGAGTCCTACTTACTGGAGCTTAACCATCTCCAGTGAAGCAGATGTCATTTTTCTTGTATCTTTCAATTCTGAGTCCATGTTCTCCCAAAAGCAAAAGAGTTTGGAGGTAACCATGAACAGTTAAGTGAGTGATTTCAGTATTTATTTCTGATCGTGACAATTACTTCAGTTTAGAGGTCACAATTAATGTACTGTGCCTGTTTTAATTCTGACCAAGGTTGTAGTTGTAGCTGACTTCCCAAGGCTGCAATACGTGGTGACAAAGCCGTGGGCTTCTGCATTGGCATTAATCCCACGTTTCCTTTCTGTGCCTTGCAGGTCAGCTTGTGCTGGAAGTGGACGGCATCAGAGTGTGAGTGAAGGTCAGTGCAGGAGCAGCTGTTACAGAATCACAGAATTGTAGGGGTTGGAAGGGACCTCCAGAGATCATCAAGTCCAACCCCCTGCCAAAGCAGGTTCCCTACAGCAGGTCGCACAAGTCGGCATCCAGGCAGGTCTTGAACTTCTCCAGGGAAGAAGACTCCCCCAGCTCCCTGGGCAGCCTGTTCCAGTGCTCCTCACCTCACTGTACAGAAGTTCCTTCACACATTGGTGCAGAACTTCCTATGCTGCAGTTTCCGGCCATTTCCCCTTGTCCTGTCTCCACTCACCACTGAAAAGAGTCCAGCCTCGCCATTCTGCCCCCGACACCTTAGATATATATAGAACTGGATCAGGTCCCCTCTCAGTCTCCTTTTCTCAAGGCTGAACAGACCCAGTTCACTCAGCCTTTCCTCATAGCAGAGATGCTCCAGGACCCTCACCATCTTTGTGGCCCTCCGCTGGACTCTTTCCAAGAGGTCCCTGTCTGTTTTGTACTGGGGAGCCCAGAAGTGGACGCAGTGCTCCAGATGAGGCCTTACCAGGGCAGAGCAGAGGAGGAGGATCACCTCCCTTGACCTGCTGGCCACTCTCTTTTTAATGCACGCCAGGATGCCATTGGCCCTCTTGGCCACAAGGGCACACTGCTGGCTCATGGCCGACCTGTTGTCCACCAGGACACCCAGGTCCCTCTCCGCAGAGCTCCCCTCCAGCAGCTCATCCCCCAGCCTGTACTGGTGCATGCAATTATTCCTCCCCAGATGCAAGACTCTACACTTGCTTTTGTTAAACCTCATCCGGTTTTTCTTTGCCCCGCTCTCCAGCCTGTCCAGGTCTCGCTGAATGGCAGCACAGCCTTCAGGCTGTCAGCCAATCCTCCCAACTTCGTATCATCAGCAAACTTGCTGAGAGTGGCCACCATCGCCTCATCAATGTCATTGATGAAGATATTGAACAAGACCAGACCCAGCACCAACCCCTGAGGAACACCGCTGCTTACAGGCCTCCAGCCAGACTGCACCACCAACGACGACCCTCTGCGCTCTGCCAGTCAGCCAGTTCTCAACCCACCTCACTGTCCACTCATCTATCCCACACTTCCTCAACTTTGTTGTAAGGATGTCATGGGGGACAGTATCAAATGCCTTGCTGAAATCAAGGTAGACTACATCCACTGCTCTCCCCCCATCCACCCAGCCAGAGACATCATAGAAGACTACCAGGTTGGTCAAGCACGACCTCCCCCTGGTGAACCCGTGCTGACTACTCTTGATAACCTCCTTTTCTTCCAGTTGTCTGGAGGTGGCATCCAGCAGAGCTGTTCCATCACCTCTCCAGGGACAGAGGTGAGGCTGACTGGCCTATAATTGCCTGGGTCTTCCTTCTTGCCCTTTTTGAAGACCGGAGTGACATTGACTATCCTCCAGTCTTCAGGCACCTCCCCCGTCCTCCAAGACCTCTCAAAGATGACAGAAAGCAGTTCAGCAGTCACCTCTGTTGAGCTGTTGTATGGGAACTGCTGAGTCACGGCCTGAACCTCTGATTAATCACCTGAGGTGAGCCTTGAGTCAGCCAGAGGAGCACAGGTGAAGGCAATTCACCTGTGCTGCCGGAAGGGGTGGAGCCAGGCTCCACCCCTCCTGGACCTATTTAAGAGCTGGCTACCACAGGGGAAGGATCTCTTCTGGAGATCCTCCTCTTTTGGTATCTTCTAGTGAGCTCAACCCAAGGGTAAGCTCTTCTACTTATTCTCTTTTGCGATCCTTGTTTGCTTTTGCCTTACTCTTTTGATTATATTGCAATTATAACATCTTAGTTATACAGCTGTTAATGTGGGGAAGGAAGTCCAGGCTAATGGACTCTGCAGCATCTCCCAGTACAGTACCAGAGGAGGCAAGAATGATGTCAGGGGGCTCCCCAGCAGGAAAGTGGCTCATCCAAATGCTTGCTGACAGTTTGAAAGCCCAAACCCTTCCAGCCTCCACCCTGTAGGCAGCTCTGAGGCAGCATCTCTTTTGTCCGACTGTGCAGCACCTGAGCAAGAGGGTGAGCTGAGCTGGCTGCACAAGAGTCATCTTAACTTCTTTGTTATTTTACTTCAGATAACCCCATTGGGTGACCCTGCAGTTGGTTTCTTAAAATTTGGATGTAGGAGATGACCTTTACTTATGATGGAGGCCCAGAAGTGCTGTGGGCACTCTCAGAGGTCACAACGGTTGCTGGGGTGGGAGCGTTTGTCCCACAGCTGGTGAGCAGAGCTGGTGCTGCACGCAGAGACTGGGCTCTGGGCCTTTCCTGAGAGAGATCACCCTGTGAGAGCACCGGAAGCACTGCTGTGGCGTGCGCGTTAGCTGGGCACAGCACAGGTTGAGCAGGCCGAGCCGGTGAACTGGGTTTGGTGCTGGGTGGCTGCTGGGAGGTGTCTCAGCAGAAAAGCTGGGCTGGGTGGGCCTGCTGTGTCAGCCCTTGTCCCAGCTGGTAGTGAGAGCAGGGGGAGGCTGATGGGTGCTGCCCACTGTTCCTGCTGCTCTTACCGTGTGGTACAGCAGCGCTGTGGCGTGTGAGCTGGGAGGGACAAGTACAGCCGCTGAGCCTGGCTAAGGCAGAGCTGAGGTTTGTGGAACACGTGGGTCATGCCAGTGTAGCTACTGCAGCTGTGGTAGGAGTGGAAGACAAAGGGAGTTTTCTCCATGACAGCAGCACCAGCCATTTGCTTCAAGGTGTATAACTATTGAGGAGATGGAGAACACTTGCTGTCAGAAATCATGGCAGCTGTACAGAATCTAGATGTATTTTGGGGATAGTTCTTGTAACCAGCTGATTTCGAGACACTGTCGTACTTCAGAGTCTAAAGTGCATGATAGAAGAAAGATGGGAAAATGCTTCTCCTCGCTGTTTTTCACTTGCAGATTCTTTCTTTAGGGATCCTTTCCAAAAGGAGATTTTTGGGATTGAGGCAGTTGAAGAAAGAGTGAAGCCAGGGGCAGTCCCTGTGGAGAGGACCCCAGGAACTGAGATTCCCCACCACTGTCTCAGCAAGGAGACAGACGCAGTTCCCATTCCTGCTCTGCACGTGGAAAGGTATGGCTGGGTTTCTTTGTTTGGGTTTTCTTCCTTTCAATCACTTCAAAGGGGAAAAGTTGGAGCAGGGGGAGCCTTACTGGTCCTTTGTTACTTGTATAACTGGTTGGATTCTGCATGTACTGCAACAGGACAGCAGAGCAAGGCTCCTTAACCTTCTGGGGCAGGGTGGGAGCCGAGAGTGGGCACTGCCCTCCTGCCAGCT